CCTGGCGCTACCTGCTCAACGCCTGCGGCCAGGACTTCCCCTTGAAGACCAACCTGGAGATCGTCCGGCTGCTGAAGGGCCTCAGGGGGAAGAATGTCACCCCCGGGGTTTTGCAGCCCCCCCACATCTCCGCACGCACCAGATACGTGCACAGGGAGCAGCTATACTCTTTCTTTTCTTTCATGCTGTGGACATTCGTGCGCAAGGCGCCTCCGCCCCACAACATCACCCTCTACTTCGGGTCTGCGTACGTGGCCGTCACCCGGCCCTTCGTGGAGTTTGTGATGCGGGACCAGCGCGCCATCGACCTGTTGACGTGGTCTGAGGACACCTACAGCCCCGACGAGCACTTCTGGGTGACGCTCAACAGGATCCCGGGTAGGACACCAGGTCCGGGGAGGGCACAGGGTTCCTCAACCCAGCCCCTGCCACCCCGGCACCTGCTCCCACTTGCCTATTGTGTGGTGCCCAGTCTTTGCGGTGGCCATCACAGCTCAGCTCTCCATGGAGGCGTTTCCCACTGTGGCTCTCAGAGGTGCCTAGCAGCAGGTTGTCGCCAGTCCTGTTGTTTCATATGGAGAAACACCCAGGCAGGTGACAACCCTTGTTGGCAGCACTAGTGGTAAGCGAGGAAGGCGTGCTGAGCTTCCTTGAGTTCAATGTCCTGAACATTTATCCATTTGGTTGAGCTGTCTTCTGGTGGGAACAGCACCCGTGACTGGGTAAGGGAGGTCCTCATGGGTGATGGGCTTTGCAGCGTGATGGGTTCAGGGATGCCACGTGCCTTCCTGCTTAGCAGCAGTTGCCCTGCCCCTTGAAGACTCAGAGACGCAGCTTGGCACCCACTTAGCTTCCACCCTTTTTGGCCATACCATCTCAGTAGTCCATCCTGTGCTTTCTTGTACCACCTTGGTTCTCCAAAAGCCTCCAAAGGGGTCTATGAATTTACAGTTCCCTCTCACACACTGGTGGGCTGCACGGCTTCACTTGTAAGGGAGAGGGTATGCACTTGCCCATCTATATATGTGGCTTACCACAAGCCCTGCGTGTTTCCCAAACATAAATACATGGCCCCAGAGCCCAACAAAAGTTATGGTTGATTTAAATCAGGTCTTGCAGAACAATATTCCCAAGGGTGGTGTGTACACCACTTCAGGCAGATTTCTGAAGTACCGACTCCTGGGCACCAGCTTATAAAGTGCAGGAGAAAAGCTCGGATCAGTTGGTGGCACAGAAGTGTGAAGAAGTTGTCCTCTTTCCTAGAGAGAGATGCCAAGAGGAAGCACAGGCTGCTTCAGGGGGCTGGTGCAAACTAGTCCATTGGCAGTGAGGTTTTAACTGATGTGTTGGTTTGATCCTGGAATCACAGGTAGGGGACTTGGAAGGCCAAGGCAAGTCAGGAAGCCTTTTAGGCTGCAAGATTTCCAGCCCAATGTTGGTTTATGTGCGTGTTACAGAAATGCCAATGCAGTGGCTCGTTTTGTGTAGGCTGCCTATGTTTGTCTTCACAGTATGTGGTAGCAACGTGAAGAGGAAAGGGAGTGGGCTCCATCTTGGAGCCAAAACATGCAGATAAGCTTGCTCTGGAGTTGCAACGGCAAACACCAGGAAGACCTTAGAGGAGAAGCCGGTTGCATTGCCTGTGTCCTGTGAATGAGCTCCAGGCTCTGAAGCAGTGTTTTTCCCGCCTCCAAGCCTTCGCCACCAAGGGGAGACATGAAATTAAAGGCATTGGAGGGGCTGGCCTTTCTTCCTAGTCACTTGTGGCTGTCTTCACACCCAAGCTCTGCTGGTGCCTGTTTCTCAGACCTGGTGGTGGCAAACTCCTTTCCAGGGCAGTGCTCAGTACCGCTGCCTGCGAGGTGGCTCTTTCCCCCTCCTTGTTCTTGGAGACAAAACGCTGCTAACCTCAACGGAGTGGGAGACGAGAGCTGGACAAAAGTAGAGTGAGCAACTCATGCTGAAGTTTATACTAACTTTCACCATTAGCACCACTTTTCAGACGAACTATTTATAAGAACAGGACCCCAGAGCAGCTTCTGAATCTGAATTCCATCGTTCAAACAAATCTTTAAAGGAAAATGTGGTAAATCTGTGGGGTTTTTTTTTCCCCAGTGCTGAGCTACACTTTCCCCTACTCTTTAATTAACTCACAAAAATGCCTAGTTTCCTCAGTTTGGGAGATGATGAATATTGTGAAGTCAGTAGCTTTGCATTCCTGGAAGGCAGTGCCTTCCAGTGTTTTTGTGAATGTCCTGGCGTCATTCCTGTTTTTTCAGTCATCTTTCTGCTTTCCCACCATGTCAGCATTTTCAAAGTCTTTCTGCACACTACATTTACCGCCATCTGTTATGAATGGGTTTTTAATTTGGGATGGTAATGCACATCCCAGGCCATTTACAGTGTTTATCCCCCGCCATGACTGCTTCTTTTTGTCTTTTACGAAGTGTTACCTTTAGCTTAATGCTTTCTGTGGAAAAGTAACATTTTCTGAATTTTCCCCAGGACAAACCCACCCTTTTTGGCATGTTATTTTATTTGATAACAGCACAATATACATAGGGGAAGAAATAAAGTGATGACGTTCTGGTTACAGCTGCCACATATCTCTGTTTTTGGCAAAGTGCTATGGTGGTTCTGCTGTTGGATCACATGGTCTTTTTGCATCTGATGTCTGAGTCATGACTCGGTATTTGCAAACAATCATCCTTACTTGCCAGGAACAAGTTATCCTTAAAAACACAGAGCAAAGCAAGCAAACAGAAAAAAACCCCTGATGTTTAACATTTCTCCCATCCAAAGTCTCAAAAAAACCCCAACTCCCCCTATGTTATACAGTGCCTTTAGAGTCTCTTTTGTCCTTCACTGAGCTTTTCTTCAAGCTCACAAGAAAAATAGTTTTGGTGTTATGGTAACTGTAGAGGTACTGCACTTGTTGCCATCTCAGAAAACAATGGAAAAAACCCAAAATAGTAACAAAACCTTACTTTGCTATCACCTTTATTTTTTAGAAAGCATCAGGGTTAGGATGACGACACATGCTCAGCTACTATTTCGGCACTCAGAGCTTCTTGTGTGTGCTGCAGTCACCAGCTGAAATTGTGTTTTACAGCACTGCTGGCAAATCACCCTGCTTAAGATTGCGGTTAACCAACAAAATAAATAGCCTATACTAACACACATTTTAAATGAAGTTGTGAAAATCAGGAAGATGGGCTAATTAGCCTTAAAGAAAGAGAAAGGTCAGAACTGGAGATTAAAATGTCAAATTTATTTCAGTTAAAATCACATTTGAAGGATGTTGGTTCCCTGTCTTTGCACAGGACCTACAACTCCAAACCAGTGCTATTCTGCATTTCATACAGGCTCTAAATGGCTTTGTTCTCATCTCATTTTAAATTGAGGAAACCGGCTGTCTTTTCAGTATACAGTTAGTACAAATGACAGATAATAAGACAAATGTTACAAAGACATTTTCATAGAAAGCTGCAAGGTTCCCTCCCTGCCAGGTCACAGCAGGGCTTGATCAGTTACTGACAAGGAGCGGTCCTCTTGCTGGCTTCTCTCTTACATAGGTCCTGTGATCTGCCTAGACTTTATTATGTAACATTACAGGCTATAACTGAGTTCTAACAACTCCATCCAGTGACGTCATGCTTGAATTTGTTCTGTTAGCCTCTTTTATTTAAAAATAATAATAAAAAACCCCAGGAGAGTATTTACCACCAAATTCATGTGATGGTACTAGGTGTCGGCAGCTAAGTGTTCACATAGCCCTCAGAGGGCAGTGCTGGTGGGGAAGGTGACATGAGACAGCGTACACGCATGCAGTATCATACTGAGGCTGTTGCCAAAGAGGGATTTTATTTCTCAAGTGAAATGTTTAGGTCTCTTGGGCTGACATCTTGTTTATGTCATGAAAGCTGCTTTCAATGAAGAAGCTTGACAACAAGCTTAGCAGATGGGCATCTGTTGATGCCTATTCCTAGGTATTTCATCCTAGTTCTGCAGAGAAAGGTTCCAGAGAGTGGTCATAAACCTGAACACATAGTTGTTAAAAGAACTAATTACTTGATTTTCTGTTATCTAACTGCAGGTGTCCCGGGCTCCATGCCCAATGCATCATGGGAAGGTGACTTGAGAGCGGTGAAGTGGATTGATATGGAAGAGAGCCATGGAGGTTGTCATGGTAATGTGTACATTTTTCTCCACTTCTTTTTCCTGTTCATATAGTGAAAAACACCTGACTGTTGTTCCCGTACTCCTACAGCCTCTAACGGTAGTGTGAGACAGTCTTTAGACAGCACTTCATCGGAGAGAAGACAGGAAAAAGGAGTCATCTCCTTCATAATCCCTATGTGAGTGACAGTAGCCACAGGAACAGTGAGAAAGCTGGAACAGTTGCTTCTTCAGGGATTTTACAGAATATATCGGCCTCAGAAAGAGGGATATTTGGCAGTGCTTAGGGCTCACATGAGTTAGCTGACTATTTTCTTGAAGGCCTTTGGGGAATTTTCTTGCAGGTGGGTGGGAATAGCCCACGTGTATGTCCCACTCTGGGATGCAGATGTGTTAGAGCCAGCAGCTGTGTGCAGGGCAGGTGTCCTGTGTGGACTCGGACAAACCCCAGCTCTCGGCTGGGCACTGGTCCCCACCAGAGCCACAGCTAACAAGGAACCTAAGGAGCTGTCAGCTGATGATGATGGATGAGCTTTGAGTTTTCCTATGTCACGTTACTTCATGACATGACATTAGCAGTAGAAAATCTTCTGTATGGTGCACTTCATTTTTCGGTCACTGGTTTGTACATTGCGTACTGCTACTACTTCTGACATATCCCAGTGGAACAAGAAGGGGAATGCCAAAATGCAAATGATACAATTTTTATTTCAAGAATTCTTCATCCATAACATAGCTGTTTGTGTTGAGGAGAAAAATGTCGAGAACTTCAGTCAGCTTCATTTACAGCAGTTTCACATTGGCATAACTACATTGAAATCAGTGAAAGGACACCAGTATCACCGAGAATTAGCCAGTGAAAAATCTAGCATGAGTAAAGGTATCGGTTTCCCTTCACTGTCAGAAGGAAATTCCCCTTTGCTGTGTTTCAGCCTTGTCTGAGAAAGAGTCTCAAGTAGTAACACTTCTTTTCTGAGCTATCTCCTTATTTATTCTGAAGTAACTTTATTTCATCCCGCTACTCACACTTTTTCCCATTGCATGTCCAGTAGGCCTTATAGTATGTTTATTGTGCAGAAGTTTATTTAGAGTGGCTTTTCAGATAAAACTTCTCAAAAAGAATTATTTGGAACCTTGATTCTGACATTGCTTGTTTTCTTTTTCTTTTGGCAGGCCATTATGTCAGAGGCATTTGTGTATATGGAACAGGTGACCTCAAGTGGCTTTTTAACTCCACCTGTATGTTTGCAAATAAGTTTGAGCTTAAAACGTACCCCCTGACTGTGGAGTGCCTGGAGCTGAGACATCGGCAGAGAACCTTGTCCCAGAGTGAGGTTCAGGTGGAACCCAGCTGGTATTTTTAGCTAGTAAAACCTCAGTCTACAGCATCAATAAAAGTGGTCAAGAGAATAACAACAGCAATCTTATTTACTGCTGTGCCAGAAGCATAAACTCATGAGATGGGGTTCTTTACGTCGGCTTGTCTCATGCTGCCTGCAAATTTCACCTTCCACTTAACAGCCGGAGGCCAAAGTGTGAGAGATCCAAAAAGAGACACCAGGGCAAAGCTCGTCTTGCAGCTGAAGGAGCATTGAACTTCTACCATTTTTAATGGGCTGCTCGCCAGCCCCAACTTTTGTCTTGCTGCGCAGCCATTGCTATCTTTTTTCTGTAAAAATATAAACAGAGTCACGCATCTCTGGCACTTTTTGTGTCTAAAAGACAAGTGTGAACATTTGGTAAGCAAAAAAGGTAACGACTCACAGTCAGCAAGATCTTAAACACAGGAATGCAACTGCTGGCTATGCATACAGATACTGTTTTGTCAAAGATACCGATATTTACTGCAGAGAACTGATGGAAAAGTACTGGAAACGAAATAAAGACACTGCTCTTCCCAGATCTTACCCATTCTTTAAATATCTGTTGGGGCGAGGTTTGTAAGAGAAAACAGCATCTTTACTAGATCAGTGGGTGTGGTTAGAAAAATCAGATACGCTTTCAGGCACAAAAGCCCTTCTCCATATCTGAAAAATGGGGGTTTGCCTATTTGTCTTACTTGGCCAACTAACAGAACTGGAAAAAACAAAAAAACTCTCTACACTTAGATTTTGGCCCACCAGTGTCCTTAGATCATCATGTGTAAGGACACAGAGGGAGAGATGGAAAGCAGGGAATGAAATAGCAAGACAAATATTTTCAGAACCGAAAGAGCAGTAACGGAGCTTTGGCAAGAGCTCAGTAACTCAGTGTCATATTTTTTTATATGGCTTAAGCCTTCTTCTAAGTTTACTTCCTTTCACCTCCTTATAACGGTGAGTGCACACACTTACCCTTGGGGTTCACTTCATCACCACCTTCATTTCATCCCCCAATAACAGCCACTAGAGGGAGGCCAGCAAACACCTGAGCAGATTTTCCCTTCCCAGCCTACAAAACCCTTCAAAGCACAAAAAAGCTCCACGGCCTAGGCATGCCGCAGAGAAAAAAATCAGTGCTTGGGACTACTGTAGTACGGTAAACAGAAGGGAAAAGTTACAGGTCTTGGTCATTGTGTCCTAAAAAACAAAGCAAGCAAGCAAAACTATGAACGCTTACATGGCCTTCTAGCAGCACTCTTGAGCGACGTGGTTAGCAGCACAGAGGCGGTATAAATTGGGATGCTTGAGTCTAAGGAGAGCGTGTGCTGCTCGCCCATCTCTCTTCCGAACAAGTGGACATGGCTCAAAGAGTGCCTCTCGAATAACAGCAATTTACCATCAACTTTATTAAACCACTGCTAATTTCAGGGTCTTTTAGCAAACCGGATTGCAACCTGCAGCAGTTCAGAAACGACGACACAGCATATTCAGTCATCCTGAACTGCGGCTGGTAACCCCTGGGGAAGGGTCTGAACAGGCAGGATCTGCTTCAGTCAGCTTGTTCTGCATTTATAGCTGAGAACACCTAATAACGCAGATCCCTGCAGAAAGGCACCGAGAATTTATCTCCAGAGCAGAACTTTGGTGCAAATCCTGTTCAGTTTTGGGGGGAGGGGAGAAGAGAGCTCTGCTCATTTGCTGCTGTGGTGGCAGCTGAAGAGAGAAGTATGTCAGAGAGTCGTTCCTTTAACGTGGGATTTTTAGGGTGTCCAACTTCAGAGGTCTGGAATCAGCCACCCCTTTGTTTTATCAAGCTGAATACTCCCCAGATTGAAACATTCCAAATAAAATAAAGGCATTCTCACCATTTCATGTGAATATTTAAAGTAGCACAGAGTACAAACAAGATTATGTATCATAGTTCAGGCTCTACAGGCAAATGGCAAAATATCACCCAACAGCAAAACCAATAAGCTTGGCAGTCTGAAACCACGGATATAAAAGGGTTTTATGCTGAGCCTGAACAAATACAGGGATTTTAAGACTGGGTTGTATTACCTGTTTAAGTGAGCACCCAGAAAAACATCACAGCTGGTTAGTCTACTGAGAGACCTAGATTTCTGTCCAGCTATGTTTTAGAGGGTCAGTTTTTTCATGAATGCTTCTCCATGTTATGTTTTTCTGGAAGTCAGTTAATTCATTTTCATTGTGTGCCTGGTTTTGGGGTGCAACATCTTCCTCATAAGCCTCTTCTATTTTTTCTAAAGAAAGCACATTACAGTTAATCACCCTTTGCAAAGTGATGTGGAAAGAAAAGAGGGAACAGAACAAATTCTGGCAGCCGAGCCCAAGAAATGCATCTGAACCGATGTGACCTAGCAGTATTAGCAGTACTTTGGAATAGCAGTGAAAGACAGGGAGAGATGAAAACTGGAGGCGGTGGCTGGTAGGACGGACATTAAGGAGGGTTAGACTCCTGTGCACAACAGTAACAACAGCGACTGAGTTCAGCAACTGCGGTGCACCTCTGTAGAGGGAGCTTGCTCTCTGAGCAACCCACGTCTGTACCTCCTTGTTTTTGACAATTATGGCAAGGTGCAAAAAAAAAAAGCAAACTCTTGCCCAGTGCAACTTGTAGCTGCCTTTCTGAATCAATATGAAGAGCAGAGCAAAGTTTTCAGTTCCGTTCAGGCACTCACTCAGAAGCAGACTGGGAGGAGGCACATAAAGAACTTGCTCTCTCTAACAGGGTTTCCAAGCAGGTCAAGCTTTCCACTGAAGTCAGTTTGACTTGCTTAGACAACCCACTGGATGCCTTTCTGCTTACTGAGCTCCTAAAGACTATTATACACCTTGCCCAAGGAGCCGAAATATCCCTGTAAGATGTAAGGCATGTGCAACTGCAGCCTTCTGACCCCAAGGTCAGCGAACCGACCACAGGAACAGGCCGTGCAGTCTCCATCCTTGGTGGGGCTCAGGACCCCACCGGACAAAGCCCTGAAGTCGTGACAAGTACATCTGCACCGGCTGTCATCACTTTGGGAGTAGGATTCATGCCTGTGAATGAAATCATCAGTCCCCTTTCCTCAGACTTTGCGTATTCCTAACATTAAGGACATTTTTACATACTGTATGATGCTGTATGAGCAGCTCCATGACCTGCAAACTTCTGTGCCTGTTCTAGATGCTGCAATGTTTTTCCTTCATTCCTCAGATGTTCAAAATACTAAAAATGAGCAAGAGAAGGAGCATCCATTTGTCTTTTGTCACTCTCTAAGTGAGGTAGGGAGGAGAGGGCATTCGGAGGGTCACTTCTGCACCTCCTGTCAGTGGTAGGGAAGAGACATCACCACTGCTTCACCCCTTGCTTGCTGTTGTCTTTGCCTAGGACAAGTTTTGGACTCATCATCGAGATTTGTTTAATAGGTCTATTAAGGCAATTAGGTACTCGTGCAAGACATGGGAGTACTCTGCCATGCGGCTCTAAGGCTTAGCAGCTGGGCTTGCAATGGGATGTACAAGCTGGCAGGCCTCGTGCTTGCTAAGCCTCAGACTAAGTGGAACTTTCTCCTATGGGGTTTTTAAGTATCTGTTGGATGTAAGAGCTGCGAGTTTCCTCCCAAGCTTTCCTCTTCCCAAGACACACTATTTCTTCAGGTCCAGTGCTCATTTTCCACCCCACAGCGCAGAACCGCGCAGTCAATACGTGAGCCGAGACACCAGCCAGCTCCCAGGGCCTGATCCAAGCCAGCAGAAAGAGCCGCGGACCAGGCTGAGCAGGTGCAGCCTGTGCTCAGCGCGAGGTGAGGAGCAGAGCGGTTGCACATGGAGACCCTGCGGCCACGCATCCCCCAGGGCCAGTCGGCATCACCAGGAGCTGTGGCGTCGGGCTCACACAACATGCGTGGCCGCAGGTCTGCTGCTCCCCGTTGTGAACAACTTGCAGGTTTCACGCTGTTTGCCTTTCAGCTGAATGCACCCAAATACTTCCAATAATTCCCCGCCCCATGGCAGATGTAAGCTCTGTGTGTGCCTGCAGCATCGGGGCTGTGGGCATCCGCCAAAAGTGTCCGGCTGCGAGTGCTGGGCTGCAGGACCGGTGGCAGAGTCCCCAGGAGCGCAGCTGTGAGAGCGGGTCCAAGGACAGCAGGGCACAGCGCTGCGCCTCCTCGTGCTCACCGCGGGGCTCGAGCCTGCTGCCGAAAACCAGGCACCCACGGAAATGCTGCTCTGAGGCTCCAGGCTGGAGGCCTGAACCAAATTCCCTGGCAGCAGGTGTACGAGCAGGATGCTTTAAAGAGAAGGGAGAGCATGTCTCAGGCCTAGCTTGTGGCTCGATGTCTGGCAGCGGTGCTGCAAAAGCCACCTAAACCAGCAGGATCCCAGCCTTCCCCTTCCCACTCCTGCTAGACTCATCCACGTCCTAGCTATATCAGTTCCCTGGGCCTCTACCAAGAGGCCAAGCAGCACTTGTGCCAGCCCAAAAGCAGGGGTGCCAAAGATGATCTCAGCACTAGGAGCCAGGCAGCTGCTCAGGTTGACTCTAGTGACAAAAAAAAAAAAACAAACCAAAGAAAAAAAAAGAAAAAAAGAGAGGCTTACCAAGCTATCTTTTTAACTCCACTTAATGCATGAAAGTAATGTGTATGTATTCACGTTTTTGGTTTTACCACTACTACTAGGCATCTCCTTAGACGCCATACAGTGGCCAGCTAATACGGGTTCAATATTGGACCTCCCCCTCCAATGAATAACAGAAATGGTGTAAAAGAAAGGAGAGGTGACACGGTGACACTGAAGTTACAGAACAGAGCAAAAGCCAAGCACATTTTAAGGGGCTTGTGGTCTGGTTTGGTTTGTTCTCATGTAATATCCCACTACCCTGTTCAAGTGCACTGCCTTGTCCCGCAAACCTGATCTCAACTAATTTGTGGGCACCGCAGTTACCGCAAACCCACCATTCCGGCACAGACAGCTGCAAGACTGAAGCTTTGATGCACATGAATAAATCACTGCATAGCCACAGGAGGCATAAAACCGAAGTAGCCGGCAGGACTCTTTGGCTTCTGAGTCCGTTGCTGGCTTCTAACGCAGTTACAGCATCAGAGACTCTGGCAGACCTGACTTCCATCAGCTGCAAAGTCAGCAGCGACATCAGCAATACCAAATAATGGATTAAGTAGAAGCTGCAGGTGCTGCAAATGTCACAGAGGACAGTGCCAAGATCTACCTCTTAGCACACACTGACACAGAGGTCAAGATGCTGTGTTATGGTGTGACGTGCAGGAATATAACATCCTCAGCTTCCACCAGGAGCCAGCTTGTGAACGTACAAATATCTAATGAACATAACACCTTGACAGAAGGCTTAAAAAAACGTTTTACTGGCATTACTCCACAGCAGAGAGGCACTTTCGCTGACCCTTTGCAAGTAAATCCATTCCTAATGTATTTGAGTGAAGATGGATTTTCGTTGCTCCAGATTCACAGTGTCACCCTACGGCGACGGTTTTGCTCATCATCTCCTTCCTCTCCCCATGCTAGAGAAGCCGAGGAAGATTCAGACCTCTAATAACAGAGGGCCGTCCAAGAAAAGGTCTTTGCCCAGCAAATCCTGCTGGCTTACAGCTGGTGACCGCCAGCAGAATTTTTAAGGTGGCGTGGTGGTGGTTTGCTACGGGAGCGTGAAGGCTCGCTCCCAGGAATGGCAAATAACTGGCTGGTGTGTGCATGTCATTTTTGGGCGGGGGACTGGGAGAAGCTGGAAATAGGCACTAGAAATAGGTCTAGAAATAGGCACTGTAGGCAAAACAGTGGCGTCGAGTAGGTCACACGTAAACCTTACTATCTGGTCTGATTAGGTATGTCAAACCAAAAGCAAAGGTCCTGCTTTAAACAAAGGAGTCAGCCTGGTTTGATCAGCAAGTCATCGCAGAAGGTCATTGGCACGATCCCGGCCAGATGCTTCAAGCTCCACTGCAAACCTACGTGCCTAAAACACAAATATTTGCAGCGCATCTGATGGCACAAAAATGCAAATCAAGTTGTCTCCACAAAAGACGGCAAGCTTCAGCAAACGTGATCCACAGTTATAGTCTTTCCGTGCACCCACTGCTAAGGGCAGTAGAGGAGGTCTCAAGAGGATATGTGCACCTCAGAGCAAGGGGGAGCACAGAACGTGGGGAAGGGGAGGACAACTGAAAAGACAGAGAAAGCCTGAGGACAGAAGTGGGGAGGAGGTATGAGAAGGAAGACAAAGACGGGAAGACACAGCACATGAGAGAATGAACGGAGAATGTGAAGAGCTGATCAGCTAAGTAGGATAAAATGCTGTTTTGGTAAGTCTCACTTGTGCAGTGAAAGCCTTCTTTTCCAGATAACCTGGGGCAAACTGCTGGTTTGCCACAGAGCTCATAGAACTGCAATAGGTGGCCCCTTTTTGGTTTTGTTTTGTTTCCTTAGTGAAAGCCTGACAACCATATTAACTTTCTCTTGGTCAAAATAGGTTTGTGCTAGTCTCTTAACCATTCATATACAACAGTGCAAAGGTATAGCCTGCACACCTCTTCTTCGGAGTCTTTTATGGAAGCAAGTGTGGTGGAAAGTTCGTTGCCTTGTGAAGGAATAGGTCTGATCATAGTTTGCAGTATGCAAGCTTCAATCTTCTGTTTTTTTTTCCTTGCAAATATATCCAGGCGCAAGCATAGCTACCATCAGTAGTGCAGGTGGGGAAAAAAATCCCACAGAGCAGAAAGTATGATCAACTGCTCATTTATGTTGTCCTACAGGGAGGCCTTGAAACTTGCCAAGTTCGGTAAACCTTTGGGTACATATTAATCAACAAGCTTTGCCAGGGTCAGAAGGTAATTTGCTTATTGTGTCAGGTGGGCCTCATGATATTCTCCTTTCTGTAAAATACTTCAAAGATCTTGTCACAAGCACAGAACTCAGTGCTCAGTTCTCAACGGACAGCTGTGGAGGAAGGAGGCAGAGATCAGCTGGGAGACTTGCACCAATTGCACGGAGCTTGTGTCACACAGAACCATGGACCGGCTGACGCTGGAAGGGCCCTCTGGAGACCACCACGTCCAACACCCCTTTCTCAAACCAGGGTCAACTTGCTCAGTTGGGTATTGAATATCTCCGTGGATGGAGGCTCCACAACCTCCTTGAGCACCTTTTCCAATGTTTGGCCACCTTCACAACGAAAATGATTTTACTTACTTTTAAATGAACTTTCCCGTATTTCAGCTTGTGCCTGTTGCCCCTTGTCCTGCCACTGGGTACACTGAGAAGACCCTGGCTCCATCTGCTTTGCTCTTCCCCATCAGATATTTATATGCATCAATAAGATGCCCCTAAGCCTCCTCTCCTCCAGGCTGAACAGTCCCAGCTCTCTCAGCCACTTCTTGTATGAAAGATGCTCCAAGCCCTTTGCTGGACCTGCTTCAGTGCCGGTGAGCCTAGGACTGGTGCTTCATGCCTGCTTTGCACCGGTGATCCTAGGACCAGACCCAGCATTCGAGCTGTGCCTCACCACAGAGCAGAGGGGGAGGATCACCTTCCTCGACCTGCCTAAGGCTCAGGGTGCCATCCACCTTCTTTGTTGCAGGGGCATGCGACAGCCTCATGGCCAACTTCTTGTGATGCAAAGGCCATCACAAGTTGAGCTGGCCTCATGGCCAACTTCTTGCTACGCAACTTCTTGTGACTTCTTTGTTTCCAGCAAAGCTGCTCTCCAGCTGATCTGCAGCCCCAGACTGGGAGAGCTGCACCCTCCCTTGGGAGCTGGAGCTGCATCCCGTGCAGTGCTGGGGACAGTGCCCTGTCGCACGTCACCACCATCGCTCGGCATGTGAACACTGGGCTCAGCAGAGCTCCTGGGGAATCCAGATGCCTTGTTTGGACATCTGTATTTGGCTTCACGGCAGGGCTGTGGTAGCAGGAGGGCTGCAGGGGTGGCTTCTGTGAGATGACACCAGGAGCTGCCCTCACGCTGGGCAGTGCCAACTCCAGCTGGCTCCAAAACAGACCCACCTCTGGCCAAAGCTGAGCCCATCAGTGACACTGGTGGTGCCTCTGTGACAACGTGTTGGAGGAAGTGTAAAGCCACCGGGCAGCAGCAGCTATGAGACAGGAGCGAGAAAATGCGAGAAAAACAGCTCTGCAGACACCCAGGTCAGAGGAGGTCAGGAGGTGCCCCAAGTGCTGGAGCAGAGATTCCCCTGCAGCCCGTGGAGAAGACCGTGGTGAGTCAGGCTGTGCCCCTGCAGCCCAGGGAGGTCCATGGTGGAGCAGATCCCCACCTTCACCCCGTGGAAGAGACCATGGTGAGTCAGGCTGTGGCCCTGCAGCCCAGGGAGGTCCGTGGTGGAGCAGATCCCCACCTGCACCCCGTGGAAGACCCCACGCCGGAGCAGGTGGATGTGCCCTGAAGGGAGCTGCAGCTCATGGAGAGAGAAGCCCACGCCGGAGCGGGTTTGCTGGCGGGGCCCCCGCCCTGGAGCAGCCCGCCCATGAAGCACCGCACCCCGCGGGAGGGACCCACGCTGGGGCAGTTCGCGGAGGACCGCGTCCCGCGGGAGGGACCCCACGGCGGAGCGCTGAGGGGGCCGGCGCGGCGGGCTGGCGGGAGCCCCATACCCCGGGAGG